GTGGCCGAGGGCCCTGGGGAGCTGAGGGCAGGTGTTTGGGGCCTGGGCGGCTCTGCCAGTGGCCTGGGCAGCACCCAAGGGCAGTGGGCAGGGCAGGTGTGCACAGGGGACCCTGGTTGCAAGTGTAGAATGGGGACTGAGAACTGCAAGATGGGCTGGGGTGACAGTAGGCAAGACCTGGAGGGAGCCGGCTGGGTCCTCAGAGGCCTCCAGGCTCACGTCCCTGCCTGTGCGCTCTCCCTGGCCAGGTGCACCTGATGAAGCCAGATGCAGTCCCCAAGGCATGCTGTGCACCCACCAAGCTGAGTGCCACCTCTGTGCTCTACTACGACAGCAGCAACAACGTCATCCTGCGGAAGCACCGCAACATGGTGGTCAAGGCCTGTGGCTGCCACTGAGGCCCCTCCCACCTGCTCTGCTGCAGCCGTCCCTCCCCGTCAGCGCCCTCTGCAGAGGCAGGAAACCCTGAAACCCAACCAAACCTAAGGCAGGGTTGCCAGGGAAGGCCTTCAGAACTATGTCCCTGCCTCCTGCTCCTCTAAGCTAATGCTTGGGTCTCTGCAGGTCCTGTGCTCCCCTCCCCTGCTGTAGAATGGTCAGATGGCCTTGCCTCCAACCCTGATGATCTGAGTCCTCAAGCAGCAGTTCATCCCCATCATCTCCCCCAGAAGCATACACTGAACAGCTCTGGGGTTTGCACAAAAGTCCTGGGTGTATTCATGCCTATTACTGGCCCAGGCTGTTGGCAGATGTGGGATGAACTGAGAGGCACCTGGAGCCCTAGACTGGCCACCTTGGGCTCTTTCCTGTCCAGTATAGAGTTTAGGAATGTGGGGACAGGGTTGGGTTCAACCATCCTTTACCTGCCTGCCTCTCGCAGGTACAAAACTGGCCATTTCTAGAGAATAGGGAAAAGTATGGACTTCACCTTAGTACATATTTATATATCTTTATTACCAAAGCTCCGGTCACAGGCATGTGGGGCAGCTCAAGAAAAAGCTGAGTGAATAACATGTTCAGGGCTGAAGCCAATGGCATGTATCTTTTCCCATCTTCCTGCCTTGAGCCTGCCGCTGCTGCCTGGAAAAAATGTATGAACATCTTGCTTTGGAGAAACAGAAAAGTACTGGAGGCTTCCAGTGGACTCATCTGTCTGCTGCCATGTTTGCCTGTCAGGAGCTGAAGCTTGTGGGGAAGTTTCTTTTGCTGAGCAAATAAGGTGGTTGTGCTGGGTGGTCCATGATGCCAAGAGCCATCATCTCCTCTTTCTTTCTGCACGGCAAGCATCAATAATCAATCCTGATTCTTTCTTCTGAGTCTGAATTTTCAAATGATCCCAGCACTTCAGGACTCCAAAGTCAGCATGTGAAGTACGAAGTGTTTGCTATCTTCTGCAATGCACAAGTGTAACCTTGTTCGTTAGAGCAATGTGTCTATGACACCAGGCAGCCTGTGACCAGATATGGGGCAAGGCCAGCAGCTTGTCAGCATTGCTTGTGTCCAGTTGTCAAAACGGACTGGTCACCGAGATCTGCTTCACCCTGTGTGCCCAGCAGCCCTGTCCCGTCTCTTGCACCTATGAGTCAAAGGAAAGGGCCCCTGTCCCAGGGGAGTGACAGCGTAATTGGCTGGGCTGGGTGAGGAGCTTCGTCTCAGCCTCTCTTCTGTTCCCAGAAATGCTGTTTTCCTTGGAGCAGCTGCTGGGAGTTGGAGTGTTTATTTGATTTTGGACCTGCTCAGCCTCTAATTTACCTGCTGAACAGGTGGAGTCTAGCTGCCTCACCTGTGTCATTAAGAGCAGGTCCTGGGCCCCGTCCACACCCAGCCTCAGTGGACCCACCCGTGAGCCCTGGGATACACATCTGTGGGGTTCATGCGCTGTTCCCCTGCAGACAGGTCTTGGGGAGGGGAGGTGTGGCAGCAGGGGAGTGGCTGGGGCCATGCTGCAGGACAGCAGCCCCTCCACTGGGACCAGGGAGGGCCTCCCTGTGGCAGTGCAGGGGAAGGCACCCTCCCAGTATGCAGAGTGGGCCCAGGGGTCTGGAAGTTTCCCCATCAGTTGAGAGACCCTTGGTGAGGGATTTGGCTCTGGGATATTTATAAGGAGACTTGACTTGACCTGGACTTGTTTTCCCTCTGTGACATGAGGGAGTTGGACTTGGTGATTTCCAAAGGACCCTCAGCCAGGGACGCTGTCACCCAGCCTGCACCACAATGGGCCCAGATGCAGCCTTATGGCCCTGAATGTGGAGCCTACATGGCTGTCTCTGTCAGCTGGCAGGTAACAAAAGACCTATTTGCTCTTCTAGTACTTTTCTAACAATGCTTAACATCAGGATTATCTTTTAGGTCAATCAGCCAATTATTCTGATAACTGATTTTCTCACTGCTAGTGATTTTAGTGCCCAGCCAATGATCTGGCATATCATGGGTGGCACCAGGGACCCAGAAGTTTGTAGGCATGGACTACACCTTAACATATCAAACTGCACAGCAGGAATGGATAGCAGTTGCCGTCCTCATTCAGAATAAATGAAAAATGAGGCATCTGCCTATCTTGGCATCAGACTTCTAGTAATTTTTGCCATCCAGATGGTCACAAAAGGAAATCAAATAGAAAAGCCCTTGAGCAGCAAGAGTTATGAATTCACCCAAAGCCCATGTGTCTGACTGCAGTTGTTTGCTGAGCCAAGAGTGGCAACTGCAATGGGCAGCCTGCCTGGCAACACCAATGGCAGTTTCCTCTTTTGTTGCTCAGGGTCAGCCTCTTTATCTGTCTGCACCAGCCTAAGTTAAGTAGGAATGGTCAGTTCATATCCACTGACAGCTGATAGGAAGACACGAAACTGGAAGTGCCTCACACTGAAATACTGACCTTGGGCCAGGTCACCAGAGGATGTGTTTAGTCTTTTTTTTTTTTTTTGGTATCGGGAATTGAACTCAGGACCTTGTCTTTGTCAGGCAGGCGCTTGTGCCGCTGAGCTATATCCCTGGCCCCATGTTTGCAGTCTTCTAAGGTAAGCAAGTAATGTGTTTCCTAAGACAGGAATACAATCAGTGTAGCAAGAGTCCAGACTTTTTTTTTTTTTTTTTTTTTGAGACAAGGTCTTGCTATATTGCCCAGGCTGGCCTTGAAGTAGCAGTAGTCCTCCTGCCTCAATCTCCCAAGTGCTGGGATTATAGGCACCACTCTGCCCGGCAAGAGTCCAGATGGATTTGAATCCAAGATCTGCTTTTTTCTCTGGAAAGTGGGCTACTGGTTCTCCCCTCCTATAAGTACTATAAATATTAAATGTACGCATTTGGTATATCTGACATATACATCCTTCACCATCAGTACCTGTGGTCGTTATTCCAAGATTTGCTCACTTGGAATCACCTCTGTGCCCGTCCATTAAACCAAAATATGTTTCACAAGTGATGGTGTATTTAAGGCTGTGCTTTTTCCTCAAACACCTAACCTGGCTTTCCTTAGAGGGCAGGCCTTGTATATTCTCACCACCTTTAAAGGCCTGGCAAGTGTCTGGCAAGGTGGGTGGTGGGCAGGCTGTGAAACTGCTCCTGTTTTCAGACCCACAGCGTACTGAGGGTCATCCACATCCACACTCATGTGGCAATCTGTACGTGGGAATTGGCCACCCGAGCTCTGACCAGTAATGTGAGGCTTTACGCAAGGACTTGACTCACTTTAAGAGGTTTTTTTCATTTATTAAAAAAATGCAGTTTTGGAGGAATGCAGACAATAATAATACACAATTGTATATAATTCAAATCACCATAGTACCATGACTCAGATAAATACACCATTAATATTTTGGTCACTTCATTTTTTTTTTTCTTAAAATACATATGTATCTGTTTGCATATAATTTATCATACTGTACTATGTAAGTTGCTTTGTGATCTTTTTCACTTTATTAGTGAAAATGTCTTAGTTTTTGAAAACATGGCTTTCAGTTTCTTCAGACCTGAACTGTGTCGTGAGACTCTGTTTTCACCAAGTTGTCTGTCTGAGCTCCTTCCTCAGAGGGCTGCTGTGAGGCTGATGTAGCAGTGTCTGGAAGCCGCTGTCTCACTGCTGGAAATGCCAGCAGTTGCAGCCCCGATCCTAGGATCCCAGTCTCTGCCTTCATCCATGCTGATTCTGCTAAGCTCTTTGGACCTAGCCTCTCCTGGTTCTTATACAAACCCTGAACTCAATGCCCCAGTCCCCCTTCAAATGCCTGCTGACTTGTGTGTAGAGAAAGCTTCCCAAGATCACCTTGCCAAGACCCTGGTACCCATTTTTGGTCAAACACCAGCTGATACCATCAAGCTATTTTTTAGATGGATTAGTATCTTTAAATCAATGGAATAAGCCAGATCACCATGCATAAAGCAAGCAGGCTTCGTCCACTCAGTTAAAAGACCTAAGCAAAAAACACAGACTGCTTCCAGACTGCCTTAGGACTTGAACGGCGAGACCAGTTTTGTCCCAGTCTTTGGCTGCAGGCCTGCCCTGTGGATTTCAGACTTGCCGGTCCCCACAACTGCGCAGGCCAATTCCTTAAAATAGTGCCCCCCTCAACATACACATGCACACATCCTATTGGTTCTGTTTCTTTGGAGAAGTTTGACAAATACAGGAACCATACAGTGTCTGTCACCAACTATTCGGCTCTGCTGCTGTAGCAAGGAAGCAGCAATAGACAATAGGTAAACAAATGGAGGTGGCTGTGTTCCAATACAAACGTATTTGCAAAATAGGCAGTGGCTGGATTAGGGCATGTATTTTGCTAATCTGTCTCCTCACATAGCATCTGGCATACAGAAGGCAAGACTGAGCTACAAAATATGTAAAAAACCTACAGAATAAAAGTAAATAGACCACTGAGGTTAATCAGCATATTTGCTGGCTACAAGACTGGCGGCTGTCTCAACAGAGGCAAGGGAGCAGGAAACAGGAACTTCTTTTTTTTTTGGTACTGGGAATCAAACTCAGGACCTTGTGCTTGCCAGGCAGGCACTTATGCCACTGAGTTTCATCCCCAGCCCTGTTAAAACAGGAACTCCTATACTATCTTGATTTCCATTGCCCCTACATGGTCTCACAAGACATCTGGCATGAAGATGTATCACTGCCATCTAAAGGAACTGGCCCAAGGGAAGAAACAAAAGCTGTGGGGAAGGAACTGTGCCCTATAGACTTGCCAGCCCGCCTCAGAGGTACAGCTTAGCCACAGATGCACTCTCTGACAGCTCCCAGGAACTCTCTGGAGGCAGTAATATAAGAAGAATCAAGATTTATTTTAGCAAAAAAAGTGTCCAAGAGCCTCAGGTGGGCCAGGGCAGGCCCGGCAGCCCATGCCTGGGAAAGCCAGTGGACACACTCAGCCGTCCATGGTGGGGAGGGCGGCACCGCGCTGGCTCCCAGGCCCAGGGTGCACCTGGCAGGAGCCCAGAGCAAGTCCAGACCATGCTGCGGAGGAGCTGCTCCAAGCTGGCCCCGAGCAGGAGCTCGGATGCGGTGCTGCCTGCTTCACACAGGACACCCTCAGTGTCTGCAGAGCCCGTGGCTCCTTCCTGGACACAGGGGCGCGGAGAGGGAGCGCAGTGGCTCCGCCTCACATGTACTCTCCACAGTCAGAGATGATCACCTTCTGCTTTGGCTTCCCGTCCTTGCTGCCCTGGGCCTTTGGGAGAGGAACCGAAGAGGAGGCTTGAGTCAGGGGAGTGGCGTGGGGGACTAAAGAGGCCGGGGAAACCCTCCCGCCTGGAGCCAGGCAGAGGCAGCCCGGAAACCATCCTTCCACAGCGCTGGGCACCAGGGGCCCGGGAAGGGGACTGGTTCCTGCCACCTACCTCAATCTGCCGCAAGACATCCAGGCCTTCGGTGACCTCCCCAAACACTACGTGCTTGCCATCCAGCCAGTCCGTCTTGTCACAGGTCAGGAAGAACTGGGAGCCATTGGTGTTTGGGCCAGAGTTGGCCATGGAGAGGAGACCTGGGAGAGAACCACCTCAGCTCCCTCCACCCCGTCCCCAGCCCTTCAAGCAGGCGCGTGAATGGGCACAGCCCTTCCACCGCAGCCTCACTCGGGGGCACAGACCAGGGGGTGTGGCCACCTTGTCTGTCAATCACAGGATGAAGAGGGTTTTTTATTTATACTGGTCTGTCCTTTCATTCATTCATTTAACAATTATTAAGTATCTAGTTTATAATCAAGCCCTTATTAAGGTCTGCGACACCGATGAGCAAAGCAGTAGTATTGGGGTAAAGCTCAGTCAGTGGAAAAGGGTCATTAAAGGACCGCGTGTGTTCACAGGTGCGTGCATCATGCAGCTGAGCTAGGAAGTGACGTGAAGGGAGGTTTGCTATACGGATGGCAGAGGAGAAGAGTCAGGGGTAAGCCCTAAGTTTCTGATCAGCAGCCAAATGGACAGCGGTGTCATTCACCAAAACAGGGAGGACGAACAGGAAGAGTCTGGGGAGAAGAGCAAGAGTTGCTCTGGCCCTGTTGGAGGGGCCCATGGGACACCTGGCGAAGACCACAGGTACCGGCGGACAGGAGCTCCTGGCATGGAGCCGGGAGACTCAAATGTGGACAAAGTCAACATAGAGCTTAGTGAAAGCCCCGGGACTGAGCATGATTCCCTAGGGCAGTGACTCTGAGCAGCGTTGGTCCTTCCCTAGAGGCTGTTTAGACACTGAATGTGCTTGTGGTTGTCAGACACACTGAGCGGTGCTACTAGCATTTAGTGGGCAGAGCCCTGAACGCTACATATTCTGCAGTGTCCTGCACGGTGAAGAACTGTCCCACACCCTGCTCGTATTGGTGAAGGGGAAATGTGTTCATAACTACCCTTACCTAAGGTCTAATCCCAACGTTTCTGAGGGTTTTTGTTTTACTTCCTATAGAATCTTCTAGGAATGCAACAACTATGTATCAGATACATTTTTTTTTTTTTTACACCAGGAATAGAACTCATAACCTTGCGCTTGACAGGCAGGCATTGTGCCGCCAAGCTATATCCCCAGCCACTGCAACAACTACGTAAATCAACAGAAAATGACTCATCCACTTGGACTCTCAGTCAGCCTTCTCCATCACTTCACAGGTTCCCGTCACCTTGCACCTCAGCAGCTGGCAGACACCTGTCTGCATTTCTGATCGATGCAGCTGAGCGCAGGTGCACATACCCGAGTAACTCCACTGTCTGCTGGCACAGCGGTACTAGCACGTTTACATCCAGAAACATACTCTTTCTATAACTGAGCAGGTTTCACGTTCTTTCCTATTAAAGAACAGTATCGATTTCCAAAATAACTCTGGGGGCAGGTAAGCTACATCATCTATGCTTTTCCATCCAGCACAGTAAAGGGTAGAACAAACTATCAGAGAAAGGAGGCCCAGGGAGCAGAGTTCTTCTATGGAGAAAAAAGGCTGAGCTCTGAGCCACTTCAGTTGGGCGAGGGGGGGGTCAGGAAACAGGAGATGGCAATGTCAGAAAAAGCTGCCAACTAAGTAAAAGGAAACCAGGAGAGGGAGGAGCCCTGCCAGCCAAGTGAAGGAGGACACACGGAGCCCAGGGCAACAGTATAAAATGTTGCTGTGAGGTGGAATAAGATGAAGGCCAAGAACTGGCTACTGCAAGATGGAAGCTGTTAGCGTCTCTGCTAAGAGTGATTGCAACACGAGTGGGACTGGAAGCCGGGGTGAAAACATTTAGAGAAAATGAAGACAATGAGGCTATACTTTTTCAAGTGTAGTCAAAACTTTTTTTGTTTTGTTTTGTATTCTGAGACAGGGTCTCACTATGTAGTTCAGGCTGGCCTCAAACTTGCAACAATCCTCCTGCCTTAGCCTCCTGAGGGGATTACAGGCATGTGGCATGATGCTGGCAGTCTAAAACTTTTTCCAGTTTTACTAAAAAGTAAACCAATGCCAGGCACAGTGGTGCATGCTTGTAATCCTATCTATTCAGGAGGCTGAGGCAGAAGGACCACAGGTTTGAGGCCAGCCTAGGCAACTTTCCAAGTCCTTGTCTCAAAATAAAGTAAAAAAGGGTGTGAATGTAGTTCAATGGAAAAATATTTGCCTAGGATGTTGTAGGCCCTGGGTTTGATCCTTAGTACTACATTAAAAAAAAAAAAAATAGACCAGATACATAGGTGATAGCTATGGGGGAATGTAACTCCAAGAATGCCTCTGTATTTTTTGGTCTCTTTATAATAAAAACAATGCCTTTGTAAAATTTGTTTTGAGACAGTGTTTCACTATGTAGCCCAGACTGACCTCAAAATCATGGTAATTGTCCTGTCTCAGCCTCCCAAGTGCTGGGATTATATGTACCAGCACAGCCAGCTAACAGATTTTTTCCAGTCCCTTTGGGAGATTATTTTTTTGTTTGTTTTTATTTTGTGTGGTACTAGAGATTAAACCCAGGGGTGCGCCAACCCTTTTTATTTTTTGAGGCAAAGCCTCACTAACTTGCCCAGGCTGGTCTTAAACTTGCTATCTTTCTGCCTTTTTTGCTGGTATTCTGCACCCCAGCTCCCAAGGATGCTTTCTGAACAGACTAGTACTGCCAGGTATGGTGGTGCATGTCTGTAATCCCAGCTCTTGGGAGGCTAAGGCAGGAGGATCACCATGAGCTCAAGGCCAGTCTGGGCTACACAGTGAGTTCAAGGCCAGCCTGAACTATATGCTGAAACCCGTCTCAAAAATACCCCAAACAAAATAAATAAAATAAAATAAAACATGGGTACTGATTATAAGCTGTTGGCCTGATCTCGTAGAGCAGGGGAAGTAGATCGTAGAGGCAGAGGGAGACATCAGCTGAAGCCAAGTTCCTAAGTAGGGGGGCGGGGATGGGATAGAGACCACAGCACAGCAGCTGGCCTCCGTGCCAAAAGACAGTCAGAGCATGCGAGTGTGCAGAGAGGCAGGTGGCGAGACACCAGGCAAAAGCGAAGGTGCTCAAGAGGCCTTAGCAGTGAAGACAGGCATCGAACTGTCATCTCTGATGGGACTGAGCACGCAAGGCAGAGCTGCTCAGAACTGCAGCCAAGAAGTTCACGTGGGATCACGCAGGGCAATTCCACGCTTTTCTCTAGTCACAGTGGGGCCAACCACTGAGATTTTACTAGGCAAGTCTGACAAGGTGGGGGAGAAACAAAGGGCTTCAGGACACGAGAGCTCACGACGGCAGATCACAGGATCAAAGACAGGCTAACAGGTGTGATGTGGTTGGACACAGACAATGCAGAAGCTGAGCAAGCTGGGTCCCACTCTCCCGTAGGCCCCTGCCCCACAGCTAGACCACAGCTGTCCTTGTCACCACTCCCCACACCCACCTGGTCCAGTGTGTTTGAGGATAAAGTTTTCGTCATCAAACTTCTTCCCGTAGATGGACTTGCCCCCGGTGCCATTATGGTTTGTGAAATCCCCAGCCTGACACATGAACTGGGGGATGATGCGGTGGAAGCTGCTTCCCTTGAAGCCATAGCCCTTTTCATGGGTGCACAGGCAGCGGAAATTCTCTGGGGTTGAGAAAGGACGAAGTGCTCATGTTAGAAGACAAAGCCAGACAAGTGAAACCTCTAAAAAGGTTTCCTGTAATGTTTAAATGTTCATCTTTTGGCATTCATATGGGATTGGCTCTAGGGCCCTTTGCAGATAACAAAATCTGGGGATATTCATACTCAAAAGTCCCTTATGAGAGCCAGGCGTAGTGGCACACGCCTGTAATCCCAGTACTCGGGAGGCTGAGGCCGGAGGATTATTGTGAGTTTGAGGCCAGCCTGGGCTACAAAGTGAACTGAAGACCAGCCTAAACTGCATAGTGAGACACTGTCTCAAAAAGACAAAAAAAAAGTCCCTTATAACCTATACATGCATATATGTACATACACATATGTAGCCCAGGCTAGTCTTGAACTTGGGACAATCCTCCCACCTCAGCCTCGTAAGTGTTGGGATTACAGCTGTGTGCCATCATGCGGAATACTCTCCTGTATACTTGAAATCCTCTCTAGATAACTTACAATACCAAATATAATGAAAATGTTATGTAAGTAGTTGGTATACTTTATTGTCTAGGAAATAATGACAAGAAAAAAAGATGAATAGATTCAGCACAGGCCGGATGTGGTAGTGCACGCCTCAGCACTCAGGAGGCTGAAGCAGGAGGATCACCATGAGTTCAAGGCCAGCCTGGACTACATAGTGAGACCCTGTCGCAAAAAACAAACAAAAAATAGATTCAGCACAAGTATCCTGAATTTTTCCCTCTGTGACTGGATGAACCCAGAGATGTGAAATCCTTGGAGAAGGAAGGTCAATAGTGTTTTCATTTTTGAGTAAGAGAAGCTCATTATAGACTTCTGTGATACTGACTTCTTGCAGGACTACAGAGTGTCATGATGAAAGGAGGACTGAATACTCTGTGCTCATCCCAGCTCTGCTGCCTCCCCAGACCAAACTGCACTGATGACAAAGTCATTTTTTAAAGAGGAAACCCAAAGGATCTTAGGAGAAAACATAAAGCCAATCTTCACGACCTGGGATTTGGCAACGGTTGTTTAAATATGACCCTAAAGGCATAGGTAACTAAAGAAAAATAAAGTAGATTTCATCAAAATTAAAAATTATTGTGCTAAGGAGGACACTATCAACAGTGCAAGGTAACTCACAGGAGAAAATATGTAAAACCCTATTTGATAAGGGTTTAATTTCCAGATATATGTAATAAACTCCTGTAATTCAACAACAAAGCTAGATGTGGTGGTGCATGCTTATACCAGCACTCAGGAGGCTGAGGCAAGTCTGGGTGAGCCCTGTTTAAGAAAGCAGTTGACTCCTGAGAGGTTTTCCTCAGTCCTGCGGGTCTGGGCTGCCCCTCCACTGCCCCGGTGAGAGGCCAACTGGCTAGTGGGTTAAAGCAGAAGGGCTCTGGATCAGAACACCACGTGCACAGAGGAGGCCGAGGTACCATCATCACAAAGGGAAGTGGAGTTTACAGACTGAATCTCCTGTCTCCTCACTAAGACGGCAAGTGGCTGGATGCAGAGCCTTCAGTCTGGGAGAGAATCAGGAAGACAGTGTGAATCTGGAGGAACAGGTACTACAGAGATTTTAAAAAGCTAATTCCTTAGGCCGGTGCAGTGGCACGTGGGACACACTGAGGCAGGAGGACTATAGGTTTGAGTTGCACTTGGGCAACTTTTAGTAAGCCCGTTTAATTCCCAGTATGGGGCGGGGAGTGAATTTCTGAAACAGAAAGTCAAAAGATAATGTCTGGAGAAAAAAAAACAAAAACCAGAAAAACAACAACCAAAACTAGGAAGTACAAATACAAGGTATCTACCCATATGGAAGTAAAAACCACAAGAACTGGATAATATCTGAATCCAGCAGTCTCTGAGGAGTAGCGCGTAGTGCTGGAATGGGGCAGGGTTTAGAGACAGCTCTGGGACTGCTGGGGGTGTTTTTGTACATGTCTGCCATGCACAACGATCACATTCATCGTAGGTTTAATAAAAACCACTGTTTTTATTAAAACAAATTTTGAGAAAATGACTCTGTCAAGGGCCTAAGAACTGAGGCAGCAAGAACCCTGGGAAGCCACTGATTAGCCACCCACCCACCGCCCTGACTGCAGCAGGGCCCTGCTCACCCGCTGTCATGGGCACGACGTCAGAACGCAGGAGCATCTGGATGCGGCCAGCGGGCTTGTTCCCGATCTTGATGTCCATATACACCTGAGGATTTGACCGGGCCTTTTTCACAGGAGGCTCTCCCTAGGTGCACAGGAAACCATTAGTTAGGACCACTGCCTGGCTCCCCAAGTAGGAGTGCAAGTACTGTTCTGCACACACCCGACACAGCTGCAGTGGGCAGGCTGGGCAAATGTGCTGAAGGGAAGGTACCGGGCCTCGACAGGGCTGTGAAGCCCACACCACCCAGCCTGTTCCAAGACATGGCCATTGCTTGCTTCCCCTGCCCTGCAGCCCACTCACAGTAGGCAGCTCCTCCTCAACCCCTAGCATAAGCACACACAGCACATTTGCTAGTGGACCCACTCGAGTCCCGTCAGCTCCCCTCTCCAATGGCAACCTGCAGTATCACAGGCCAGTACATGAAAGCAGGGGGAACTGTCCTGCTTGGGCCTAAAAGCTCAGAGGACAATAGAGGCTGGCACCTTGCTTTGGGCTCCAAGTTGGTCAGATTGACCTGCCTGTGCAGGTTTTATCTTAAAAGACGGCCGAGAATGACCTGGTAGGATTCTACTGACTGCAAGGGCCACCTTAGGCCCTGCTGTGCATTTAAATTTCTGGCTTGGGTCAGTAGTGGCTGGAAGGTGGCAAATTAACCAAGAGCGAGAACACAGAAGACAGGACTAGAGAAGGGGAAGGAGGTGCATTTCAGGCAACTTTAAGGTACCTCTGAGACTTTCAGAGTGAAATATCTGAAGCTTAGCACTAGAAACACAGGCTGCAAAACTCAGTAAGATAGGAGCACTGCACACTCTGAGACTAACTACTGGCGTAAAGAAAAGCTGCAGGAAGAGAGAATCGCGTGAGCTAAATACGAGGCACAGAAGACTTATGAGGCTCACAAGGATGCAGAGGAGGGAAAGCCCAAGGAACACTGGTCCAGAAGGTATGCTGAGAACCAGGGGAAGTGCTGGGCAGGGCTCTCCTAGCGGGGTGGGGTGGGGGGTGGTGTCTTGATTCCACACTGGCTGAAGGGAGGGTCTGCTACTTTGTGTCTCCCGTGACAGGGCAGAAACAGGAGACAGCCTGGCGCCAGACTCCCCAGTGCAGTGGGGGCAGGTGCCAGGTACAGTATGGAGCCTTCTTTTTCACCCCCTGGGAGGCCGGGTGTAGTGGCACAGGCCTCTAATCCCAGCACTCCAGAGGTGGAGGCAAGAGGATTGCCGCAAGTTCAAGGCCAGCCTGGGCTACACAGTGAGTTTAAGGCCAGCCTGAACTACGTAGTAAGATCCTATCTCAAAAAAAAAAAAGTTGTAATCTCACCTCCTGGGTTTCTGCCTTGGGAGTTTCTGCCCCTTCTTCCTCTTTATTCTCTTCAAGAGTCTTTCCAGAAAACTTCTTCAACCAGTCATCATCTGACCACACTGAAAGGAAAAAAATCAAGCTAATGTCAGGAAAGTCAAGTCATTGGGCAACTGTCATGTAGTTGCTTTGGTCAGCAAGATGGAAAATCCTATGTCTTCCTCTCAGCCAAAGGAGTCCCTTTTGAGAGCTCCCAAGGGCAAGGAGAATTTCAACTGGGAAAAACCCCTGAGCTCCAACTTTTAAAACCATTAAGTTAAAAAGACTGCGTCAAAGGCAAAGATACACCTTTGCTGGCTCCAGCCCTTGATGGGGCACTCCAGAAATAGAGTTCTGAGAAAACTAGGAAGATAAAGGGCCAGGTAAGATTTCTTGCATAGGGCCAGGGATTTAGCTCAGCGACACAGTGCCTGCCTGGCAAGTGCAAGGTACTGGGTTCAATTCTGGGTACCAAAGAAAAAAAAAAAGATTTCTCTTATAAAACTAACAATTACTCTGTTGCTACATAAAGGCGATGTATGTCCTTTGCCATTGTGAACCATCCTCCACTCCTGACTGCTAGAAAGCAGCATTTAGCACCAACTTCCAAGTAAATGGGGATATAATGCAACTAAGGGAAAAGTGGAGGACACAGTGGGGATCTGTGAGTTGCTCTCGCTCACCTGGTCTGGAAGAACCTTCTTTAATTCTCATTGGTTTGGCCAAATTGACACGAATTGTCCGTCCAAAGAGCTCAGATTCATTCTGAAAAAATCGAAAGTCTAGCTGCTTAAACTCTACCAGGTTAAAAGAGTCAGAGAGCTCTGCATTTATCTCTAAAACATGTTCATGATTTCTCCTCCCTTAATCTCTGAACACCTATCAGCAAGTTACACTCCCCCCTGCATAAAGGACCCAGCAAGGGAGGGCGGAGCTGTCATATACTTCCTTTCTTCAATACCAGCGAAGATTTGTACTACCAAAACAATGGTATGAAACTACAGGATAAATGCAGTTTCTCAGAACCCAAATTCTTCAAAAGCCAAGATCAGCTTTGCAATGATGGAAAATGTCCTGTCTCTGATAGCTAAAGAATATAGTTGGTGATGGGTAATACAGAAGAGGGAATAAAGCAGAACTTTATTTATTCGAAGATAATTTGCACTGAGAAAGATCACTTAATATGAATCCACTTAAGGCAGTAAGGAAAATTTCATGGCAAAAAGTAAAAAAAGAATTTGCTTTTCCTTTGACTATGACTTTGTGATACAACTAGAAATAATGAAAATGTAAGTTTCTTGAAGTTAATATTCAGGATGAACTATGCATTGATTGGTAATACAAACATGTAATAAGAGCTCATCAGTTTAAAGTACTTTCTCCAGCAAAATTCTACCAAAAGTATGTACTTTGTATCTGACATGAAAATTGGACATACAGATTCCAAGGAGAGCACTGATCCTGAAGAGCACCATCATTTTTCTAAGGACTTTCCCAGTGTATTCAAATCACCTGCATCAGTAGCACACCCTGTCATTATCCTTATTAAATTTCTCTTCTCAATTGTTAACTGGTTGAACACTTGATGAAATTCTGCCTCTTCTGCAAAATAAGCAGTTTCAGTACAATCAATTTGCATTACTTGTAATTTATTATCCTAGACATCAGGAAGCCAGGAAGAGACAGGCCAATAAGGATAATCAGAACTTACATTATTGTTAAATGGGTTAAGAGGTCTGAATAAGGAATAATTTTACAAGTAGTCAACTGACATGAATATTTTCACAGTATATAATTTTTACTTCGGTACACAACCTGACACTTTAAGAGTTTTAGAACACCAATATATGAACTAAGACCTGTGTACCACGAAAAATCAACTTCAGTTAGAATGAGACCTCCAGCCATACCATGTTGTCAATAGCTGCTGCTGCATCCTGCAAGGAAAGACAAAGTGTACATTTAGGCTTGTAGCTGAATGTTTTTTGTGTGTCTAAACACACACACACACACACACACACACACACACACAAATAGCAAAGAATCAAACAGGAAAAAGTCACACCTGTACTTCTTGCCTAGGCTGTATGTGTGTCTAACAAAGACCATTTCTGACCTGACTTTTAAACTGGTAGAGCTGCAATGTGCCATCCAGCTGAAGACACAAGAATGTCTGGCCAAGAACATTCAATGAATAGGGC